CTTTTTCTTGAATAACAATATAATTTTATTAAAATTCTTATATAACTAATGTTGTTTCATTTTAATATTTTTTATAGTATTTTCATGACAAATACTTTAATATACATTTCTAGTCATATAAACTTAATTTATAAGGAAATCTTGTTTCCTAAGACTTATTAAGATTCTTTTAGCTATGTTTTCTTCTTTTTTCTTTATTTTTAATAACTTGTTTATTTAATAATATTGTGAAATTTGAATATCATGTTTATTGAAGTACAAGTATAAATTTTGAAGTTAAATTTACTTTATTCATGGTTATGTATATATTGCAAAGATAATCAAACAATATCAAAATAAATATTAAATTATTTTGAAATTATTAATTATACTTATTTCCGTTTCTTATTTTATTTAAATATTTAATAATTATAAGTGACAATAAACATGAAATAAACGGACATTTATAACATATTTAAATTTGGAAAAATTGCTTAGATGGACACCTTAGGAGGAGAGAAAACTTTGTTATCATATATATAAATTGTACATGGTCTTATCCTCTATTTATTAATAGAAGTGACACTAAGCGAAAAAATCCAATGTGTCACTCAATGAGGATTTTAAGGGACACATCAATTAAGTTAACCAATAAAAGCATTTCAATTAATTTTATATGCCACGTTGAAAATCTTTACATATTTACATTAATTTTTTTAACATGAGCTCACAAATATATATGTTACTCATTTAAATCTAACTAAAATATAACATATTAATATTTTAAATGTTATGTAACATAATGTTTTAACGATGAATCATCTACCGATATCAATTACTTTATAAATATTATATTTATGTTTATTTGGATACCATATGTGATTGATCATACTTTTTTTTATATATCGTTTTATTTTTTTCATTTACTCTAATTAAAGTTACATTTTTGTTATAAACGTCCAACTTTACAATTCAAACATTTATGCTTGAAATTTTGAAGTCATCATTTTCACTTTTTATTATTTTTTGATTTTTTATTTAAGAAGATTTACTTACTAACGCGATATTTTTTGGGTTTGGTTAGCTCAAATAAGTTGGAGAGAACTCATAATCTTAAACGTATTCGATTTACATTAAAAACGTTTGCATTCAATCTAAGTGTCATGCAGATTAAATTTTGTAAAGTAAAATATATGTATACTAGATATATGGAAGATATAACATTTGATCTTTGTTGGTTCTAACTTTTCGCGTATATTATAAAAATTTATGTTTTTTTTATTTTCAAATTTTCTAATCACGCGTTTGACGTGGTGGACAATATTTTCTGCATCTCTGCTTTTGATCTTTCAAGTATTTAGTGTGAGTAATGTAAAACTAGGCATGAGATGGTTTTAGCATGTGGGTTTTTCTTTTTAAAAGGAGTTGATTCTAATGTTGTTAAGTGCCAACCAAAACAATAACACTTAGTTTTATGCCCAAATTTGGTGGCATAATAGAGAGATTACAAATTCAAGTTGAAGTCATTGACTATTTGCTTGTTACAATAGTCTTATTAAAGCTACTGGATAGCTTGCTTTGTCATTGATCACTAGTGATCGAAAAGAGATCTGTATTGGGAAGCCTCGTTAGCCATCTCCTCAAGGCTCCTATCAACCCGGTCTTTATCTAGATCAAGCTTCTGTTTCAGTTCCTTCTCCTTCTCATCAAGCTACAAACAAGATACCACACACTATAAGATTTCTTATAAAGCCAAGCAAGCCAAGAATGTGATCAAAATGCATCAAAACTTACTGCATCATAGATTTCATCATTCTTCTCAAAGTCACCACCTTTACGAGGCAAAATGTGAATGTGTACATGGGGAACAGTCTGTCCCGCTTGAGGCCCATCCTATACCGTTTTCAAGAAACCACAGTTTAGATGGTTTTAGAGCAAACATTCCAAATTCCAATCCTTTCTTATTCAGAACACAAGTAAGAATGAACGGAAAGAAAAGAAAGGGAGAGCTTTTGTTACTTGGATGGCTAATGTGAGAGAAGATGCATTATGGAATGTCTCAAGCCGAGAGCCAACCTTCTGAGCAGTAAGCCATAGATCACTGGTCTCATCAGCTGTGAGATCAGTAAAACGCGGCACAAGGCGTCTTGGGCAGACAAGAACATGTGCTTGTGTAGTCAAAGTCACCCAAAAATACTCAAATTACAAAACAAAACCAAAATAGTGAAAGCAAAACCNCAAAAAAAGGATATGACCTGCGAAAAATAGAGGAAAACACAAAGTCAGAAGAAGAGAAATGGAAATGGTATGAATGTTTGGTGTGGAAGGAGCCATACCAGGAAGAAGCGGACGGAGATTAACCATTGCATAAGAGAAAGGAGTTGTGTAGAACACTTCACGCGGATCGATCTGGTAAGGTCCAAAAGCGTAAGAAGAAGTAGACATCTGC